CCTCCTTAACAAAGTACATGAGGCTTTTGTTTTCTAGTCTTCATTTGGCATCAAACCTTTCTTAAAAGAAGTCGGAAAATCTAGATTCCGTATTTTTATACAGGTTTTCATATACCATCAAAGTCAACAACGACAACACAGTTCTTTGTTCTAACGAGCTATCAATTTTAAACGATTTAAGATTTGAATTTGATAGGAAAAAATGTTTGTGGCCATTGAACAATTTAAAACAAAAAAAAAAATACTCCACGCTCGAAAGATTAACTGTTCGACCCTCACACTAACTAGGACTATGACCTAATTTCAAGTAATTTGAATGACTTATAGTCATCACTTTACATAGCATTTTCAAAAAGTATTTGGAATATATTTGTTCTGTCAGATAAAAAATATATATTCTTATAGGATAGTTTTTTCAAAGCAATCACTGTTTTGCTAGTCTGAGTCATCTCCATCTGATTCTTGTGCGTCAGGCTCCGGTAGTTTATCTAGCACTGAAACGTTTACATACTTGTTTCGTTGACACCATTAAAAAGTTTCAAAGAAAAATTTGTTTCTAACTGGTCTGTTTCTTTTGCTTCACTTCTTCCCATTTTTTACTTAGCAATGTTTTTTGTCTTTTTTGGTTGAATGTTTTTACAAAACCAAAGTCTTTTTGTCTTTCAATAGCTCCCCATGGGACCAATAAAACTGGAATAATTGTTCTCTATGTTCCTGTCTAAACTTTGAATTACACTTTATATTTACACTTTGTGCAATCACACAATCAGTCTTTTTATTTTTTTGTCTGGTAACAATTTTTTCTTGACTTTGCAATATATTGTTTTCCACTTAATCTTAGGCGTTTCCTTATATTTTCGCTTCCAGTTTTCTTGGGTAAGCTTTTTCGTTTTCCTTACTAAACGCTTCTTTTACCGGAGTAATTATAAGTTGCAGGATTTTCGCGGCGTGGTATTAATATACGTAAGTTGTACAGGTGTTGCATACAGTGTATCATCATTCTGCCATTCCCCTGACTTCTCAGTAGTGTCCCCTGTTCTCTGCGTGTCAGCAATGTCCTTGATGATACATGCATCATAATGTTAAAAAAATTGTTGGAATAGATGTATATGCCAGGTTTATGTTTTCATTTTTGTTTCAACTTGCTAGAAGAGTTGGTTGTACTTTTATGATAGGTTGGTCCTGCTTTGTTTGTATATATCATCAACAACTTCCTTTCAAGATTGGCCAACGCAAGCAGTAGAAAATCAGCAACTCTACTTGACCAGTATCCATCACGTTTTAAATTTTCGACCTCATTTAGATACTACTCACTCAAAAAGGCTTTCATTCATCATCAGGTCTGTGTTTGTTTAATAAAAAGCAAGCATACTCTTCAGAGTTTTTGCTCGCCAGATGTAAGCATAATCCTAAGTTCCTCGGCAGAGTTACTTGACCCAGATGATTTAATCGAGGCTTCAAAGAAGCAGTTACCATGTCCTGGTACTTTGACTCTCGTAAGAGCGTTCTTTGTGGAGTAGCGCATCTATTATAGTTCTTAACGTAGCACTCCTTTATAAGGTTTTTTCTTTAATACTTTCATTTATTGCTGAAATTGTTGCTGAAGCTATTTTGCTTTGTTCCATTTCAGAGTCAACAGATGTTGATGAATTCTTTTTATTAACCATCTTTTTCTCGTTGCTTTGGAAATTTAAGTACGCTGTTTGTTTTCGTTTTAGTGCTTTTCCTACCAGACGTTTAGTTTTCTCCTTCCGTTCCGGTCTTTTTTTGTGGTTTCTGATACATCGGACGAATATTCGGAATCAGTGGAATTAGATCTTTTGAGGAAGGTCTGTATGTTTTATCTAAACCACTATCACTATCAGAAGCATCCATGTCAAACAATTTTCTCTTTTCAATTAAGTGGCTAAGAGGAATATTGTCACTGTCACTTTTACTATCATTTTTGTCGCTTTTAATTGCCACTATATATATGTTTTTTGCGTGTCGGTTTTGTTGTGCAGGTTTTTTGTCGTGTTGGTTTTATTTGTTCTTTTTCAATTTCATTTTGGCTGTAGTTTTAAGCGAAAAACATTTTCTTAAATTCATCATTGATATTTTTATTGTCAACACAGGATTAAGTGATTCATGTACAGGCTGACTTTTTATCAACTGACAACTGTGGAACTGTCCATGAACTATTTTCACTGTCCACATTTTTTCTTTGATTTATTTTCAGATTCAGACAAGATTATATTTTTCCTGAATTCCATGTGCATTTAACATAGTTTCAATATCCAGAAAGATTTGAAAAACTATCTTCGCTGTCTGACAGCATATTGCAATTAAAATTGAATAAAAAAATTTCAATAATCAAAGAAATATCTTTTTGAATAGTCTTTATTATGTTTTTTAGTCAGTTTGTCATAATTTAGTTGAATTAAAATACGGATGTATACTTATTATTATGACATTATTAGCCTTGTTGTTTTATTCTATCTTCATGAGTATTGACTTTTAAGTAGAATAAAGTATTATGAATAAAGTATTATGAAAGAATGTTCTGTTTATTTCAAAACACGCTATATCATTGAAATAAACTTACAAATTAAAGATTTTTCGATTCGATATTTTGCAGTGACATTGCAGGATATATTTATAATATTTATCCTTTATAACTATTAAATATGTTTTTTCTTCTTACAATTATAATTATTTGCTTAAAATTTCATTAATTGCAAAAAGAACAAGAATGATAATAATAATTATAATAATAATAAATAAGCATACCTTCACAAACAAATATTTTCCCAAAAGCAAATTTTAAAACTCTTGTGATTTCTCTCGGTTTATAATTACCCGGAACACTGTGAGAAAATATACCAGATACATTGTTTTAGCTCTGAAGCATGAGTCCTTTGTATCATCACATTCCCTGATAAAACCAATTAAACACTTTGAATTCATTAATGTTCTAAAAAATGTAAGAACAATAAAGGTTCATTTGTCAGGAAAAACCATTTATTTTCATTTACGCTGTTTTTTGCATAAAAAATAATAATAATCATGAGGTTAAAGTTTTGTCTGTAAGACTGACGTATCTCTATATGCGCGGTTTTTGCAGATATAAAATAAACTGATTTTTCAGGGAATACTGTATCTGCAAAAAAAAAGCTTGTCTGTATTTAAGATGTTCTAGCCTATAATTGTTAAACAGTATACTTTGAAAAAATGGATCTGCAAGAAGACTGGTAACTTTAAAGGAGTGGTTTTAGCACCGAGATATCATTTATATGGAATAGAACATTATCACTTTATATCATTTTACTTGGTTTTTACAATAAAATGTAGGGGGTAAAATTTTTTTACGTGGATTGATCACAAATCAATATCTCAATAACTATTCAATATATTTCAATGAAAATTTGACACATGACGCATCTTTCTCAAATTCACCAAATTATAGGAAAAAGTCAATTTCAGCAAATTCTTCATTTACGTGGTTTTTGCTTATACCCCTCGATATAGTAAAAAATAAAAAAATCTTATTGTCTGAAGATACAAGGCTTAGAGCTTTAATATTAAATTTTGTTAAATGATATCATCTATAGGTACTCTACCAAAGTTGTTCAAATTTTGCCTCTAGTGTCAAAATTGCCCTGCCCCGGGGGCCATAGGTTTTCCTTTAATGTATATATGTAAAAATGGGAAGAAAGCTACAGCTTAGATATTTGACTAAAAATGTTGTTTGGTGGACCTGTATCAAGATTATTTTGAAATTAAACCCTTGGCCTTGCCCCAAGGGGACAGTGACCTACTTTCTTGTCCTTTGATGTTCAACAATGAAATTTTGACCTTGTGCACAGTTTTAGTTGTAAAATTTCTTGTTCTTTGATGTACAGCTATGAAACCATGTGCACAGATTAAGATGTTAAGTGAACTTTGATGTCAGCTGACCTAGATTTTGACAAAGTGTCTTTCTGTGTTGTCCTTTGATGTAGTCGTGAATTTACGCTGTGTGAAATATGACCTTCACCACCGAATTCACTAGACTCAAGTGCATTGGTATATTCTTACTCTGATCTTTTATTGGAATAACAATATATTTAACCACTAATCTGATAATAAGAATTAGATAGGTCAGGGATCTATGCATTATGACAATCTTCAATTGTAAAGAAACAAAAAATAATCTGTTCCTACACTACTATTTAGTGTTTTATTAATGCGGTGGCATAGCATTTTTCTCAAATGCAATCTTGTTTAGTCCAATATTGTAGTAAGCTATAAGCTTAAATCATGTATATACACACCTTCAAATCTGTTCCTGAATAATCCGATACAGAGCAATGAAGATAAAGATTTTTGTTCAAGGAAAATATGTAAATAATTTTTACCCAAAAAGGCTAGCTATTCTTTAAATACTAGTCCGATGCGTTAATCATTCGGCCATGCCGCCATAGTTGACGGATAGAGATGTTTGGCATATTCTTTTGGAAGTGTATGAAAGCTATGCTTTCAATACTAGGAGCTTAAGGGTTAAATCACTTAATATCAGTCATATATATACACGGTAACAGTTAGAAGCACATGACTTCAGTCAATTATGACTAGTTATAAATATTAAGTTTAAATATTAAACCAATTCCTCTCAAATATAAAAACATGATTTCAGATTTAGTTTTGCCAAGAAATTGTTTATTGATATATGTGACCCTCTTTTTACATAAAACAAAATAATTTAGTTCTCATCATATATTAATTGATAAATTTTGCTAACATATGAAAAATGAATTGTTGCGATACTTCCAACTGTATATCAAGTATATCAAAATGGATAAACAACTTTATCACTAACCGGACTCTTAACTATCTTTAAGAAGTTTTTGTACTGATTATGCATATAGATATTTATCTATAAGACTCTTTAATAAGTGACGCGTTCTGGCATTCGGTAACAAGAATATACATGTGAATTGATAAAATGATTTAAATTAAGCGGCACTGACGAATGGGCAATGTATATAGAGGCAAGCGTCTAAAGTTTTATTAGATATTCTTTCCAGAATTGTGTAATTGTTCTTCAATTGATACATGTATTTGATATTTTCAAAATCAGTCATAAACAATAAATAATCAGGACATGATGTACCGACATAGTAAACAACCTAAATTCAACAAAATAAGGATGGAAACTAACAAACTGACGGACGACATAATAGGATTGTATGCGGGACTTGAATATATTGCAAGTGATGAACAAAGTGAAAATGGTTTTGATTCCGTTGAACAAGATTTTAAAAATGTTTTCAAGCGCAGTAAAGACATCCGTGAACAATTAGTTGAAAATGACATCCTTCAAGGCATTATTACTAAAAAACACTTACGTAAATATAAACCTTTAATAGCAACGATAGAGGATAGACCAATAAATGGCGACACTCTGCTTCTTCGAGCAATGTCAATTTATGTAGAAAAAGGCAGTGATCAGGAAAAAATATTAGATAAAATTATAAAAGAAATTCTTGTTGAAAAGTGCCCAGAATTGATTGTTTATCCAAAGAATAGTGACAATTATCAAGGGATCACTCCACTGCATCTTGCAATTATCAAAGAAAGAACGGACATTTTAAAAGAAATGTTGAAAGCTTTAGAAAAAATTGATAAAGAAAGATTTTCAGATGAAAACCTGAAAAACATGAATGCAAAAGGTACTATATTTCAAGACACTGTGATGATGGCTGGGACTCCACTTGGAGTAGCTGCACTTAAATTCAATGAGGATATTTTTAATTGTGTCCTTCAGAATTTTCAATTTGCCCTAGATGTTACAAACGGCAACGGTGACAACATTATTCATTCTCTGGTCGAGTATGCCTACTTACATCCAAACGAACTGACAAAAGTCCTAACAATGGTTAGCTATGTAATTGGTTGCAAATTTCTTCGGGATGGTGAGTTTCACACTGAGAAGAAAAATGCAAAAATGAACATACGGAAATTGTTGATGATGACAAACAAAGATCAACTGAATCCTCTTCAACTTGCTGTCAAAAAACAGCAGTTTAAGATATTTGAGCTTATAATGGAAAATAAGGTAAGTTATAGCCTTTGTAAATTCAGCTTATTTGTTAAACAAAGCATTTTTAAGCCGACGAATATAGTTAAAATTATGAATTATGAAGATTATGAATTTGGAATGAATCAATCTTAAGGTTAAGAATTATTACGAGTATTTCATTCATAGTATAAGTGAGTGTTGACTAGGTATTATTGTCTGCTGTATTTGTATGACGCAAAGTGAACCAGTTCACTTTGATTGATTTATACTTTAACCTGATGTTAATGTTTCAAATGTTTCTATTAAATTTTGGGGGAAAATGTGTGTAACTTCTAAGAAAACTTGCGCCATTTGATGTTGTTGTGTCTCCAGTATGCATAAGTTTTAATCCATTTATACTTTTATTCGTTTTCATTTTAACAATAATTATTACATGTAACAACATTCAAACACTGGCACTAACACATCGCCTCTTGATTAGAAAGTTAAGTCCTTGTTTATGATATCATTTATGGCTCCTGAAGTTTATAATTTTGGTGTTAGCTTTGTATATTTTCTTTTTTATGCATCATATATAAGGTAGACCATAGGTAATGGGCACTATAAGGAACTGTAAAATTGACAACACAAGACAGTTATGTGTCTTAAAGGTCAAATGTATGCAAACTGTAAATAAAATTAACCGTGCGGTTTATGAGTAATGGATATATTTCTCAAATAAAACTTGGCCATAAGAAGGGATTTTTATTCAGAAATGAGAAAACTTTAAATAATCTATAATAATTATTATCATTATAACAACATGTTTTCCTATTGCTCATTGTTAAGAAACGAATAATAACATCGAGGTAAAAAATTACACGAGCAAAATGATTGTTTCTAAACAAAATGTTTTTCATATGTTATAAAAATCTTACCCTGTCCCATCCATTTTAAACACTTATATGAACATTTCCCTTTATGAAAAGCCTTATCCAAAATTTCCCTTAACTTTGCCACAATAAGAGGCTATTTTCAAAGTTTACCTAAATTTTCTAAAAAATATACTGGCTGATCATGCAAGTTATGAAATACGTTTACCGTGTAGTTTTTATTTTATTTACCTTTGAAAATATCTGTTATCTTATTTTCTTATTTGCTATTACATTAATAATGAATAAATACATAAATAAATGCCTACACTAATTACATTATTAAAATCAAACACTTTTTTCTTCCATAAGTGATCTGAGAGATACATAAATTATGTTAAAAAGAAAAAAGAAAGAAAAAATAGTGTCCCCTTCTGGGTTTTGAACCCATGTCCCTAAATTAAGTTATCAAGTGGTTCTAGCCTATTTGAATACTCTTCTAGGCGGAGGTAATGCATTACCCATGGTCTACCTTTAACGAAACAAACGCATAACATTCTTCTATGAAGAATCAAACTAACCCAAAGTCATTACACTTGTTGAGACCAAAAACGATTATTTTGATATATATCAACATTGATTAGAAAATAGTTATATCATAGTTTAATCGGCAGTTTTATATAATATTTTAAATGTCCATTTTTTAAGAATGATATCAATAATTGCAATTAAACCATGGTTTAAACCACAAAATTCATGTCTATTTCGTAGGCGAAAACTTCATTTCGTATGAACCAGATACGATCATTTTGAAAAATAGAAACATTTATTAGAAAGTAGGTATTCCAGATATTTCAATCTGTATTTCATAGAATATATTACATGTCCGTTATTAAAAATGGTACTAGTTATTGCAATTAAAGCTTTTTTTAAAAACACAAATGTCCATTGCATAGGCAAAAACCCCATTTTGTAGAAACCAGTTACGATTATTTTTTTAAATATACGAGTATAAATAAGTTTTTTTTAAATATTTGTAATTCTATGTCATATAATATATGTGAATGGTGAAAACTCCATTTCGTAGGGACCGGATACGATCATTTTGAAATATAGAAACATTAATTAGAAAGTAGTTATACATAGTAGTATAATCTGTATTTTTATATATAACATGTCCGTTATTAAAAATGATATTAATTATTGCGCACATATACTTTTGAAATTAGCTCTATGATTATTGCAAGTTAAGCATATTATATTTTAAAACACAAATGTCCCTTTCATATGAGAAAAATTCCAATACGATTATTTTCGAAAATACGAGTATAAATAAGTTTAAAAAAATACAATTTTGTGTCATTTTTTACATACTCATTATCAAAAATGTTATCATCTATCTCAGTTAGACCATAACTTGTAAGACAAAAGTCCATTTCGTAGACGATAAGTCCATTTCACGAAATGGAGTCCATTTCGCATTATATTACTACCGTGCGGTTGATATATATATATATATATATATATATATATAAACATATCTTAAAATGGTTTTACAACTATGCATGTTTGCATCAAAATTCTACTACAAGTGTAGCTATTTCATTTTTGTACACTTTGAAAGATTTTATACAAAGTTCAGTAGTCAGCAGTCAGCAGTCTTGTCATTAACATTTACAGTTTTAATAAAGATAAATGTCATCGTGTCTCATATTTGTTGTTATAACCTATATACTTTACATCTATAAAAATGTGCACCGTATGTTACCATGCAATGGTCTTGAATATTTAAGTCTAAAATTGCATTGTACTGATATATGACTAGACTTTTCATTCTTTTCTGTCATATGATTTCTCATTAAATTTGTGTTCAGCGTTTTATTCTTCTTTCTATATCTATGTAGCTATTTGCCCCCAATTTAAAAAGCTTGTCAAAACATCTTAAATTAAATCTATCCTGAACTTTCCATTGTACAACATGACAGAATGTAATTAAGACTTGTCAAGTCCTTGCAAAGAAACACTGTCCTTGACTTTCACAGAAGTAATACATTAAATTTAAACACATAACGACTGATTAATTTATACATTTTCTTGCTCCAGGTCTATCATACCAAAGATACAAGGGATGGATTTTTCATTGATGAAGAGTACGACATCACTGAAATTGAAACAATTCAGTTAACTTTTGAGGAAACCCATAAGAAAGATGACGACAGTAGTACCAAACATGATCATCATGAATCCATATTGGAATATATTGTCCATCAGGAAACAAACAATGCGTTTCATTTTGTTGACTTCCTTCCAGTTAAAGAAGTTATCAGAGCAAAATGGAAATCATACAGTTGGTTTTTCTTAAGCTGGTTTGCGGTCCATCTGGTACTCATGGTTGTTCTCTCGGTAGCTGCAGTCTACAGGTCAATACTGGAAACATCAGTATCTACAAATAGCACGGTTAAATTTTCTTATGTTGTTACACACGACACTTTTGTGTCCGTAGTGTCTGTTGTTGGTCTTGTATTTGCCTTACTTTACCTGGCGATGGAAATATCTAGAATAATGATTTCTCGATTTTCGTACAGGGTATCATCAAATCTTCTGAAACGTGTGCTCCGTAACTTTGGTTCGCCATATTCGAACCAAGTTTTTAGAATATATTTTGTCCTTTTTTTCATTATTTCTCATGCTTGATTGTGTTCTCGCAGCGACCGAAGCTTCAGGCTCATTTTCTGGGTATGAAAATTACTGCCTTATTTTTGCTGTTATTATAGGTTGGTATTTGGTTATGTTCTTTTTAAAGACATTTAAAGCTTTCAGTATTTTCACTGTTTTGATTCAGAGAGCGATTGTCGATTTGCTTAAATTCGCACTTGTTATGGCATTTTTTCTAGTTGCGTTTTCAGTAGCAATGTATATGATAATGCAAGGCGCGGACACGGAGGAAGACGACTTTATTCTTTTTAACACAACAATGTTTAAAATGCTTACAATTATGATTGGTATAGGAGATTTAGAGATTTTATTTCGGGCAAGGCATCCTTATTTAGCTGTATTCGTTTTTGTTCTGTTTGTATTGTTGACAACAATTCTTCTTCTGAATGCCCTTATTGCGATGATGTCAAACACGTGTACAGATTTAATGAGCAATTACGGAGGCGAAATTGCTGCTAAGCTTCATTGTCGTTTACAAAAATTGTCAATAATTCTGTTCTTGGAAGGTTTTCTGCCCCGATATCTTTGCAAGGAAGTTGGTGAAAAGGACGCAAAGGACAGATATGATAAAAATACTAGTAAATGGGAACATGATACAATAAGGCGACTCTGGCGGCGGAATTCTATGCATAGCCATCGAAGACGAAATGAAGCTTACAAGGCAATGCATTCTTTAGATACCGATTCTCAAAATGACGGAGCTTCTTCGATGCTAAAACAAGGTTTGCATACAAACAATAAGGTTTTTCCTCTGAAAAAAATAATCAAAAGACATAATGAAACTTTGGACGCCTTAACTTTCGATATCACTAGTTACGATTGCGATATATTTGAAACAGAAGATAAAGGAACCAACATTCCGGAGGCACAATAAAAAACTACGAGAATCACCACAATTTTTAAAGGTGATATAGAAAAGACAAATATGCCTGTCCGAAAACCCGTCTGATTTCATATATTTATACTTTGATAACAAAATAGCAAAATTTAAAATAAACATTTAACTGGTGTAATTATGCCATGTTTGAATATCATGTTCTTTTTATCATATCTAACTTTTATCAACCTAATGAATAACGTGTCAACTTATATTCTGATGACGGACACCAAATACGGACAGGGAATAAGGGGTATGACTAAAATACGCAACGGAGATTTTTAAAGCTCTACGTTGCAACGGAAATATTCTTTGCAAAACAGGCAAAACGTATGCTTATTCATGAAAATAGTTAACATTTAGTTATAAAAAAAATTAACTGAGTGAAAAGAGTAAGTTTCTTTTAAAATGTATCACAAATATTTGCAAAAACTTATTTTGAAGGATTATTTGACGATTGTTCAATTATGCTAAGATTTTTTAAAATTAGATTTAGTGGTTCTATACCTAAATTCCAGGCAAAAATGCTATCTTGTTTAATCAAGTAAATGTTTTTTCTACTTGGGAACCATACGCCACTGTTTATTAAATGGCACAAAAGTGTCACATTGATGGTCGTAAATTAAAACATTTTCCTATTTAAATATTGAATTCTACTAAAGCAATTGCTAGGGGGCGAGAGTGGTAGCTTGCATTTACCGATGCCGTCCATAAACAGGCTCTATCAACCGATCTTACAACAACTTCAATTTTTCAGCTTTGGTCGTTCGTTATTGGTTTTACTTTTGTCTTTTTTTAATAAATATGTATTATGATGTTTTTAAAAACAAACGTGCGCTGGATGGAATTGAATCGCCATATTCCGGGGCTACATTGTGTCGCAATATTTGTCTGGATTTTATGGTAAACAGATCTTGGCGATTGAAAACATGTAACAATTAAAATATTATAACAATGAAAAGACAGTTGATGAAGTTTTTTGAAATTTTATCATTTCATTGACAACTATATCATATGTATCGGTTTTCTATGTATATTTGTTATTATCATTAATAGATAAAATTGTATTGTAATTTGATTGACTGAATAAAGCTTGCTATTGTTTTAAAGTTTGTAACTAGTTCTTCTTTTTTACTTTTTAACCGTAACCATAAAGCTAAAACAATGGCTTCCTTGTTTGTATAATAATACGTCGTGGCAGTAAAAGTGTGTCATTAAATCACCAACTAATTGTTAAAGAAAATAATTATAGAAAAGTTCATATGTATATAATATTTTTATATGAATATACCGATTATTCACACCGGTGCTGGAATAAAACTCCTCTAATATGCCTTCATAAATCGTACTTATCTTGGCAAGTTGCGTTATGAAGTCAAATAAGAATGACGTTACAGTAGTATGTATGCGTAGTAGATCGCACGCTAACTACTATAAACATTCATTCGGAACAAAACCATTTCATCTTTTTCTGAAAATGCTATGCAAAATACAAAACATATATTATTAGCTACAGATGCTGATAGATATTTCCTTAAGGCAGTTTTTGATAGTTCTGTGCATTTATTTGTCCTGAAGGTTCGTTAACATGTCCTAATATGCCAAAAACATCCGATATTTCCGGATCATATTTTTTGTGAAAGATTTTTTCAATTAGCTTTCAATTGAACACATTGGCATAATGTACTTTTAGAATACCCGTTTTTATGGGTATCTCTTATAAGGTTGGTCAGTTGACCGTCAGATTTCAATTTTGTCATTATACAACATGACGCGCATCACGTCTCTGTAAGATGAATGTAAACCTGCAAGACTTAGTGATATCAATTTTAATAAAGATATTTCTTAATAAATTTCTTTTGTGTCCAGCTGAAGTCTATAATGCTCGAACTTAAGAACAGTTCTGAATGACGTCATGCAAGGGAGTTGAATTGCAAGCACGTGGAAAAATATGTGCTTATCTCGCTAATTAAATAAAAATGATGTAGAGGAATTAAAAATAATTCCCCAAATTTTACATTCAGTTTAACTTAATGTTGTAGTAAAATACAGCAGTTTATTATAGTTCCGTTTACGGAACTCGGAATGGGTATTTTAGGTGATCCTCCACCATATAAACTGGAATGTCACTATATAATCTTTGCAGAGTCAGTGTGAATTCAAATGCAGTACAAACAAACTCTTGTTAGTAATGATGCAGGTTTAGAGAAAAAAAGAAAGAAAAACACCCATTCACAGAAAAATATGTTAGCGTTTAAGTTCGTGTAATGTCTTATAAAACGGCTTGGACCGAAATTAAAATGTGTACAATATGCATGTTTGAAATAAAAACTGAATCAAAACAAACAATGTGTATATGCAACGTCTTAAAACAATAACTATGTTTATAATAGTCTCTTTTTCTAATTTATAAATAACAATTCATGTCAAATATGTTGAAGTATCATGTATAACAGCACCATGATTCCACACCAAGCAGAGTTGAGTGTTCTTTTAAAATGTCAACACATTCATCGGCGAATGCTTAACGCGTCGGATTAGTACTTAAATGTATACTAGCCGCATAGGTTGTAATCTCCGTCAGGGGTAAGTCGTACTAAACCTGAGCAAGAAAACTCGCGGGCCTTGCTTTATACTTGTTGGTTTCAGGAACGGCGAGTGAGTGTACCTATAAGCTAGAGGTTCCGAAAGAATCGAACAAAAATAAAATTCAAACAAGTATATGCATTATGCAAAGACAAAACATGTTTGATATTTAATTATATTCAGCGCAGTACAGAAAAAAAAACGAATTTGTAATCTGGTATGTTTTTACTTTTTACATTTTGCCGAGTTTTCATACCGTCAGTTTATTAAAGTTGCAGTCGTGTACTGGCTGCTAAATATTGAACGGTGTCTGGTTTCTAAACCAGAAACTTTTACTCTTACTACTGACTAAACTCATTGTGTCATTCCATGAAACGAATCGTCGTTGACAAGTATTTTTTACTTATTTGTGGAACGACGTAACATTGTCCGTGGATTCAAGGCAATGTTTATTGGAATTATACGGGTTTACGGGACTTTATAGGACTTTTTTGTCCTTTCAACGCCAACTTTGTTGATTTTGTTGTTTGTCAAATGTTCGTATTGCATTCATTATTTATGTTCCTGTTTTGGAAACAAGGACACCTGTATCTGAAATATAGAAAATAAAATGTTGTCCGTTAAATCATGTTTAATTTCTAAAACGTTCAAATGATTATTCTTCGAACGATTCTCGGTATAAATTACGAATTTTAATGATTTAAGAATCTGGAAAAGTGATCCCTCGGAAGCATTAATCACAACTAAATTACATGAAAATTGCAGGCACGGTTTGATTGAGTCTGTACATGAAGTTTAATAATTGAAGCCAGACAGTTTAGTTGCCAGCCGTTGTGTTGAAAAATACTGTATCACATGCTGACAATCGCAATATAACAAGTCGACTCAACCATGAAAAACTCTTCCCCAATCTAAATTCCGTGTCAGTTAAACTGTCGCACCTGTCCAGATTTACAAAAGGAATAGGCATTGTAGTATCAAACAAAAAGAGACACAAATTGGGTTCAAACACCATTCCCTTTTTGCCAAAACGCTTCATTTTACCACTTTACCATTTACCATTTTATTTCGTCTAGATTTGTCAATATAAAAAGATATCTATATACTTTTGATGCAGTGTAACAAGCAATGAATCTCCCCTTCAGTACAAAGATTTTCATGCTTTGGTAATAAATATAAAATACTACAATAAACTACCGGTTAATATATGAAATATGGGCAGGTAAATGTTTTCCGACAATAAGACATTTGTTTCTTATAACAGACCGCTCACTCGTTTTAATATACACATTTTACGTTATAAAAACCGCAAATACAATTATTAGTAAACAAATGACACCCTCGATATTTTGTAAACTATGCTTACCTTATAATTATGTGACATTCACCGGATGTTAATTTTAATAACGTATGTCTTGTAAAATATATATAAATAATTACCGGGATTATGACGAGAAACTGTACAGTTTAACTCAATAAAACGTTCATTTTAAATTACTTACAGACGAGCATTTTATTTATAGCATGCTTTTACATATGATGTGTAGAAAAGCAAAGAGCAATCTCTCTCCCAGAAAGTTTTAATTAATTAATTGATATATAAATGAATTGAATAATTAATTTAACATAAAACAAAGCCAGCAATTCTTAATATCATTTTTTTCATTTCGCACCACCACAAGGCGATTATATCTATTCTTTTATAAATAAATGAACATAATGTTGTTTTCGTTTTTTTTCAGTTCACTGATTGCAAGGCGCGAATGACAAAGCGTTAGTTACAGATCTAGGTGATCTTTGCTGAATACCAATTTGATAAGAAATAGTTTGTCAATCGATTGAATTTATAATTACTATGCAATAACAAAATTTCAATGCTTCTTTTTGTCATAAATTTGTTAGTGTGTAATACTGTAGAAAACAATATTCCAGTTCGGCAAGTACTTTGGAAAGATTAACTTTGCTGTAAGTAACGTACCGTAACGTCTTTGTTCTCTAAATGTTTAATAAAGACCATTTATCATGAACCTATACTAAATTAAAACAACAAGATCTGCAGCACAAACACAGTGATTCCGACAACAATAAAAGTATGGACTTGCTGGTTGGCAAGTGTCGAGCTTTACTGGTAAAGGAATATTTAAGGAACCCGTTCGTGCATTATCTTAGGATAAATCGGGTACCTGTAGAGAAAAAAACGAAGTTCCGAAGGTACTTGGATAGCTTCCTTCTAATATGAAAAAAGTCAAACTACTTATGTAGCTTTGATTACTATCATGTCAAATCTTTTTTGGGCTTCTTTCAATACAAATGATGCTTTATCAAAAAGAATTGTTTTCACCGTCGTGGTTTCGTTATGTTGCGATGGCCTAAATGAGACACCATAGTATACCAACTTTTTTTACACAATGATACCCAAAAAGATACGAAACAAATGGATTTTATGTCCAACTTAAGTGCTGCCAAATAACAGCGATCTTGAAGAATTCTTCCGTTTAGAATTTATACAATTTATGTTAAACGACTTTGATTTTGATTTATTCTTCTTATCATCAAGTTGAATGTCAGCAAAGGTGTAAACTTAATTGTTTATTTGGCAAAAACTTTAATCAGTCTTATCAGTGTCAACTGTAGAGACAAATAGGCTACAAAGATAATTAAGGAAGGGACGTACAATTTTAGAATAAGTCTGTAAAAATGATTAATTATAGTCACTGCAAGAGTGTGGCAGTTCTTGTTTTCCTCGCACTTACACCTGCACACTCAGTGGAGAAGAGAATTCTTCTTGAGGGCAATGCTCTGGAAGAGCTTCATTCAGTGATTTCAGAGGTTTGTAACACTTTCGTATGTATCAGATGCTAAATATATACATTATTATTGACAGTCTGGATTGTTTTCAAGACACATTTGATATTTTTTATAGTTTTTCTTGATAGAAAATTGTTAGGGTTATTGCATTTAATTTTAAAACATTGTCATTGTTTCGTGAAGGAAAACTGGTGAAAATTTTCACGAATATGTTTTCACTGAATCCTTTTTCTGTTTTTATGTCAGGTCGAGCATCTGAAAACGAAACTAAGTTCACTTGAGACGCAGCTACAGCAAACAGGTCAGAATATTTTATTCAACACGGATGTTCATCACTCGTTCACACTTTTTCGTCAATTTAGTGCAGTCACTTGTCCACACCTATTCTTAAACAATATGAGTTAACAGGTTAATGCAAATATAAATGTTTTTTGTAAATAAATACCAAACAAGTGTTATACTATCGTGACATAGAACTATAACTGAATGTGATAAATACCATCCTCGCCCCCCCCCCCCCTCACATACAGTTTCCATACCTAAAGAAAAAAAAGAACAATCACAAACAGCGTAAAAAGCCTGACTGTTTCTTATTATCAAATGCCAAAGCACTGATTTATGTCCAAAAATGAAAACAAAACATCTAATAATCATTATAGAATAATAATGGAAAAATAGTATAATTTCAGAATTTGAGTCTACAGGTCAAGGTCATTTAAAATGTCAAATTTGAGTTTCACACCGTAACGATTTTAATGGTAAGTGTTCATGCATCAATAAAATCTATTAAATTAAGAACAATATTATTGTCAATTTCAGCATGATTTTTAAATTATCAGCATCATGAAAGTGTTAAGGTGATATTTTCGGTGCTTAACACGAACAAGTAATGTTCTTGTTTTGTTTAAATATGAATCAAATCCATCAACGAATAAGTAAAGAATGGCCAATTTAGTAAAAATTCATAATTTGACATGGAAGGTCAATGTTGATATGTTCAAGTATGAATATTATTCCTCCATTTTTAACAAAGTTAAAGCCAATATCTGCTACATTTAAACAATTGTACTTAAGTTTCAAGGTCTTATTTGGGTCAAGGTCAAATTCCTTACGACATGCACAAGAAGATATCATGACAATTATTCCTGTCAAATCATCTAATGTTGAGATGTGTAAGAGACGAATTGCTCACAGACGACCGTCCATACTTTCAGAGAAACGTTTTGGCTGAGTTAACGTTATACGTTTAAATGATCAGTAAACCCCCTTAAGCAACATATTTTCATCCCATAAGCAACATTTTCCCTACAAGTCTGTACAGAATGTACGGATATTATTCCCGTACTGTCACTTAAGACAGACGGCAAGACTGAAGGCAACCTCGCGTATAGTAACGAGCGGCGAAAAAAAACTCGATAAGTTATCTTTGTTTCTTACAACTTGACGTTCATCTATGAACTTCAAGGTATAATATTTGTGTGCACAAACACCGTGTATATCCAGTAACGCCGGAATGGGAAAATAACGCACGATTCGTACAATAAGTAATGCAGAATTGTGCAAGAAATGGCGGATACCTGACAGGATTTCCAATGCGGTAGGTAAACTGGCCAATATATTCTTCATTCAACCGAACTGAAAAAAAGGAATAGATGCAAACGGCTGCAAAGACATTACTCTGGATGCCTTATCAAGATTATTTCCACGAAATTGTTTATTTTTCAAAATAATTCGTAAAAATGATGGCATGACCACCGTTTTGAGCGAGATTTTGGCCTTTTGTCGACTCTATTAAGTACAACAATTCATATTATACCGTATAATTTTGATTTTCGGTAAGGCAAGAGACATAAATTTAACTTCTGGTGATTTAGAAAATTGAAAATAAACTCATAATATGTGATTCCAGCCGTTTTTATGAGGTAACGCCGATGTACGTGAATTGTTCGTCGCGGTAACGCTGGAAAATGTGATATTTTTATATATGGTACAGTACTATAACACAGGTTTAACACCTTTTATCGGCGAATATAAACAAGTTATTTGCGACCTAGTCAATGTTTTTCTTCGTAACTTATTAAGAAATATATGATTATTACATCTTGACAAACTTGACAATTGTTTCAAATAATAAATTTTGATTTGCAAACATGTTGCCCAATTCTGATGTTGTTAGAAAATAAGAACAATAAACTTCTGTTGCAAATAAATTTAATGTAAAAATAATAGAAAACAATCAAGAGAAGTGTTTGTATATTTTATACCTGAAATAATGCATCAGTAAAGCTTGAAAGTCTCCATATGTCCTGTATTGTGTTGGCATGATGTGAAACCCAACCAAAACAAATATTTGGCTGTAGCAATTTGCCTGGTGTACTACTGTGAAAATGTACTACTTTATTTATTTTTTCTCATATATATAAGAAAGTGACTTGTATTCAAAAGATATTTTTCTTAGAAAATATAATACCCAAAAAACTTGTAAAAGCATAACCTTATTGTCCTCTGCTAGTTAAATAATTTATAACCCTTGGGGTAGAGATTTACCCTTATCTTTGGGGTTTCATTTTATATGTTAACTTGTTTGAGAAAAACCTATAAATCTACAGTAAGAGCTTATGCTAGGCATAACTATAGACGTTTACAAAACTACCATGACGAATGACCCTAAAAAGGCCACCAGTACAGAGCCATGTCACATCCATTCAGAGTGACCATTTGCTCTCTTAGGTAATTCATTTGTACAAATACATAAAATATCTAATACCAATCTCTCAGACTTTGAATGAACTGTTCCAAGTTCACAGCTGAGTAAAACCATTTCATAAATTTACCAGGTAAAGGGTGGCATAGACTAAAAATAAATTGAATATATTTTGGTTTCTTACCTAAATGTACATGTATATGGAGATCTATTAGATTGTGTTTGTAGAATATTTTATCTACCCATGCCATAAAGGTCTTAAAGTGGACTTCCTCGTGTTTACTATATCAAATAATTAATAGTTAAAGAGTGCGAACAATGGAAAATGCTACCATTCTCATAACTACCATTGAAATAGGTATTGAGAAATTGCTACCCCATTGCTATCATGTTGTTTCCTCGAGTAAGAAATGTTTCACGCATTACATCGTACCCACTTCAACAATGACTTATATTACGAAGCTTATAGCTCTGTGGTTTTAGGTACGCATTCGAGACTGTGTCTCTATTTTCTACGCAATCAAACTAAAATAAATTCTGTATAAAATGAAGTAAAGTTTCCTCATAAAAAAAATATTTGAAAAGTGCTTATACTCGCCGATTAATGGCGTTAAACCTGTGTAACAATTCAGTACCATATATGAAAAAAAAACACATTTTCCGGCGTTACCGCGATGCACTTCACGTACATAGGCGTTACCTCATAAAAACAATTTGAATCACATTTTATCAGCTTATTTAAATTGTCTTTGTCACCAGAAGTTTAGTAAATATCACCTGCCTTCCGAAAATCGAAATCATACCGTAAAATATGCATTGAGTCGACAAAAAGCCAAAATCTCTTTCAAAACGGTGGTCAAGCCATCATTTTCACGAATGATCTTGAAAAGTAAACAATTATGTGGAAATAATCTTGATAAGGGATAAGGAGTTATGTCTTCGCAGCCTTATGCGGCTATTCCTTTTTTCCAGTTCGGTTTAATAAAAAATATATTGGCCAGTTTACTTACCACGTTGGAAATCTTGTCAGGTATCCGCCATTTCTTGCACAATTCTGCGTTACTAATTGCACGAATCGTGCGTTATTTTCCAATTCCGGCGTTACTGGATATACACGGTGACAAACTACTTAGGAAAAATCATATGGAATGTATTTATTCATTAAACAGATTCTGGATCATCGTATGTCAGATGGGGACGGTCATCCTGTCCGGCAGATAATGAGCTGGTCTACAAAGGTCATTTGTTCTTTTTTATCAATTCGACTCAAAATATCACCTTATTAAACTGAAACAATATTTTCTTTTATTTTATGCTTTTCAGTGGATTACTGATTTATCCGTGAAAATTATATTTGATAATTTCACAGTGAAAATTATCAAAATATAATTTCACACTTTTCAATGACGAACTAGTTTTGTTTTAAGATTTCCCCACGTGGTACTTCAGTTTTATTTTTGCTGACAATTTTGACAATGTCAGGCTGTTTAGAGAAAAGGAAAACTGAAATTAATAAATAAATTAAATGTCAAAGGTAATAAAAAGAAGAAAACTTTCTTCTTTTCATCCAAATTACCAATTACCAAATATCGTCTCTTAATTTTTTTGTTTCATTTTTACAGTCTAAAAAATACATTCCTGCTACATGCAAAACTGTTCTTGATGATATTTGGGCATATTTAAGTATCCTACGAGCAATATCTGCCGCATGTTTTAAGAAAACTTGAAAAGCAATGACAGCCATCAGCCCGAAGAATAAGTAAACAACCCAGCGTTCGTAAGCAGCCATTCAACAAATCCAAGTTTCCAATTTCCTAACCATTTTTTGAATGTATACACATCTGTCAACACTTATACATTGTCTGTTACAATCCTGAAATAAGTTTTCTTTCTTTTAAAAAAGTGTATGACTAACAAATCCAAATGATATCCCTCTAAATCAAACACAATTATTTTCCTCCCGTGAAATACACAACTTTTAAAAATGGCGGCTGCTTACATTTAACATCTAATATAAATTCGCAGTAAGTAGCAAAAATATGGATGGTTGCACTTCTTGTATTTTATGAGAATTTCGACTAATACATGTACATAAAAGAGGCTACCAGCGGGGAAAACAGATTTTAATATTTAAGTTAATATCAAGAAAATTTCGTTTTAACTTGCTTACAAGCATAAAATAAAAAGAAAATGGTGTATCTAATTTATGCCTATGATAGATGATTACAGGTTACGGTGCTGGATCAGACTATAGAGTAACTGGCGGTGCAGCTAATTGGTTGTGTCTCTCGGAGCAACCACAATGGGGATACTACGAGGACAATATTGCATCGGGTGCACAAGTAAGTACATTGAAATAAATATTGAAAAAGCTATCATGAGCTGTTACAGTAATCTTTTATCAAAATAACGAGTTTCATGTATGTAAACTATTTTAGTAAAGATCAACCAAGAAGAAAGTGATCTTGGAACGCATCTCCCGATAAATATCTAGCAACTGGGGACACTTTGACTGGAACATTAGGTAAGGGCGGCATTCGTTGAACGCGTGCCCCAACAATATATAACAGCACACAATCACCAACACTGAACACAGCCTAAACAACAGCATATGAGGACTAAAGAAACGAAGCAAGGTCAAGCTTCTAGGAGGATATCGCACAAGAACGATGCAATTAAGTACAGCATAATTGATGAAGATGTTTTCTGTTACTTTAGATATACGGAGCAGAATATGAGTTCAGTGATTTCCATTACAATGGGGGCAGTAAATACTTCAAACAAAATCTAAATGACGAAGATGCTCCATGTTCCTTCTGCAGATCTCCGCGTTCAAGTGTAGCAATGTTTCCTGGACGTCTTGAGTGTTTTTCTGGTTGGACAAAAGAGTACAGGTATTGCTTACGTTAAGAACATTAAATAAAAATAATACGATTAACATGTTCTTTTGAAGAAAATGTTCAACTTCAGATTTATGTTTTGAAAACAAGAACATAAAAAGCAGTACTACATTTGATATTAAAAAAAATAAGATAACTTATATTTCTAACTTTAACGTTGCATAATTTAGGACAGGCCTATATTTTCTTATATGAAACAATCATTTGTTAGGAATTAGATTGAAATATTCAGCTAGCTTGTTAACTTATTTTTTTTATGAATGATATGGTATTTACTGTCAATTCTCTTAAAAATCTGTTAAGAAGAGACCTTATGTCAGTTAATTTATTTCAACTAACTATCGTAGTTTCAATATTTTAGCGGATATCTCGTTTCCGGTGCTCATCATCATACGTCTGCCTCTGAATATATATGTCTTGATAGTGATGCTGAAATGCTTGCTGGCGGAGTAGCCAACACAGATGGACGAGTGATTTACCTTGTAGAAGGAATATGTGGTACATTGAAATGCCCGCCATATGTCCAAGGTCGTGAACTTACGTGTGTCGTATGCAGTAAATAGCTTGGTATTAACATTGAACATTATGGCGATGTCAATAATGGTGCTTTGATTTATTATCTTTTTTTGTTTGTGTTCAACTTGCAAATGCAATCTGAAATATGGCTTTAATAAACTTAAAAGACGCACCGTAACACAAACGCATTTGTTTACTTTAATGAACTTATATGTCAAACTGGAGCTTTTAGAATCACCGCATTATTAATGAACTGTTTTGGAAAGGGTAAATGAACAACTGTCTTCGACATAAAAAATGAGCCTGCAAATTTTCGCCAGTATCTTTATGAAAGCATAATGTAATTTTATGAGTGGATTAAAAAATAGATCATAATAGAACTGACAATGAATTAAGCAAATGGCGTTTTTATTTTAGATTTGAAAAAACCTATGCACTTATGTAAGCTTCTTTAAGCAATTTGCAAATCTCTTGGGTTACTTTTATAGCAAGACATCGTTTGTTTTCATTATAATATAACAATTATTGTTTCTTTTTCTATAATGCATAAGTGACCAAATAATCTTTTCGTTTTCGTGTGTTTTCATGTAAAATAATTATCTTGTGATTGAAATGCTATATTCATTGAAAGTTTTCATGGACTAACATTGAACCCATCTAAGAAATATTACAAAGCTCCCAACATACTTTCATATAATCCCTTAAAAAATGATCCCGTAAATTCAAAGAAAAAGTGTGTCGAAAAACAGAAATGACAGATCAATAGGACAACTTGAATAAAAATCTATTGAAGTTATCTTTTGAAAAAAGTATTACATTTGTACAATGTCATAATAAATATATTTCAGTTTCGTATTTTAATTGTCTTATAATTATATACTGATTTCCATTAGAAGAAGAATTAGAAAGATATCTTGTTGGTAAAAAGAAGAAAATTATCAAATATAATTATGTGATCATATATTGCGCCATGGAAAGATTTTTATTTCTTACAAAAACATGCATAAAAAGCAGAAGCTGCTTCTAGTCTACACTGTTTACAGTGTTAGTGAGTATTTTCTCTCTTGCACCGTGAAAAATGGCATTGTATTATATATTTATGTTTATGTTGATGCAAGAATTAAAAGGTTTTCTCATTTATTGATTGACAAACACATTGATAACAAAATGTTTCAATTTACAGTTTTATAATATTGCATTAACTTTGTGACAGTCAAGGTCTGGTTTAAAGTAAAGTTTGAATCAAAAGCAAAGACAATTGATCAAAATTGCATCAATTTATTATTTAGCCCTATAAAACATAGCATCGCCACATGCCTTTTGAGAGATTGGGCAATTCTTACACAATATCAAGAATGAATAGATATCTGTTCTCGTGATATGTAATGGAAAGAAAACTCTTATTATATTTCATCTTTCTTCTGTATAGATAATGGAATATTTCACTGTTTTCAACAATACTGCTTTCCTAGTAATCTCACAGATTTGTACAAAGTGAAATGTATATTTTAAGCCAAGTATTTACGACAAGTTTAATAAATTGTCAGTCCATTTTCCATGCCTTTCATATAAACTAAGAAGTAAAATATGTATCAGTATACTTATATTAAAGTTATAACTAAAGTGTTAGCAAACGAGTGTTTGAAACACTTTCATCTTGAAAATGCATGAAAAGAAAGTTGACGGTTTATTTCATCTCGTCCTATAATAATACGATAATTTTATTAGTTTGGTTCGAGTGACGTGTTCTGTAAAATCAACACTTGATTATATTGAAAACAAATGTTTGTTTTTTTTTTGTTTGAAAAAAAAACACAACAAAACACTATTGATATTCATAAGCGATATGTATGAATTTAAATTTAAAACGAAAGAAAGTGTTAATAATAATAACATGCACATTTTTCTCTCGCTTTGTTAAAACAATACACAAAATATTTATATTACACAGTCGTCAGAATTCTGACCCAGCTTCTTATACTTCTGAACATATATACTTTATAAATGAAAAGCCACGCTTTTGTTTTACCCAAGAAAGAAAAGTTTATGTGAAAATTTATTTTATATGCTTTTTTAAGGGTATTCGTTTCTCACAAAAAATTTTTCTATCTTTTTACTACCAAAATATTTTGGGGCAATTCCCCGTTGGGTAAATTAACAAGCATGGTTTTTTAGCCCAAAAAAATTTTAATTTTTGCATCTAAATATGCAATGTAAATAAAAATCTTAAAGCAATTTTTCACAATTTAATAAAAAATTTAAATACAAAGGCAAGATAAGATATGTGTCCCAGATAGGAAATATATGAAAATTCTTTTCCCTTTAGACTTGCTTATTTTAAATAATGATTTTTCCTTATAACTGCTAATAGGTTTTATGTTCTCCTTAAAGAAAGATAATCAAGTTTCAGACAGGGTACTAGTATTGTTTTAAAGAGTAAGAATACCAATTTGTGTATAAAATGAAATTCGTTAATACAATTAACAATCTGTTGCAGAGTTTGAAGCTTTTATTACCAAAACTAATTAAATGGACTATGTTTTATTAAAAAACAAAGCAGGGCTTTTACTTCAGTTTACTGAAAGCTGAAAAGCTGAATCTTATAAATGAAATATATATAAGTTTAGTTTCCTAAGGGAAATTTGATTAATGTTGGTTTATATTGAAAATTCTTCTGAATAATTAATTTACTATTTTTCCCCATACATATATATTTCTATCCATTTAGTCACATAAAGTATATTTATATTTAATTATGATTACATCTTCGTAAGATATAGAGAACAAACATTTTTTGGAAATAAACATAAACATTTCTGGAAGGACATTGAAAAAAGTGAATTGTATGCTAAATGTTACAAGAATAAAGTTTAATGACTGGAGAAAATATTTTGATGAAACACTTAACAATGTTCTTGTGTAACACTTTGATTAAGGTCAAACTAGAAATATTATGCTTGTACATTACTATAATATTGGTGGTAAATCTCAATTAATAATCAAACCTATAAAAAAGCAGTAATAACATTTTTTCTGCTGTGACAATGAACAGTCTCAAAATGATTTTAAATGTTCATAAAATTAGGTACAGTTTTTGTAAATCAATTAACTCCAGAATTGAACATGACCATCTATAAATACTCTTCATTTACATAATAATACAATGTTATAAAGTGAAAAATAACAAATAAACATATAAACAATTTTGCATAGATATGAAACATTAGTGGTAATAACAGGCGTAATATATTGGTTAAGTACAGATCAAATGCAACATGAAAATATAAAGTGAAAATAACATAAACTTCAAAATCTTAATTTTATACTAAAACTAAAAATAATTATCGAATAGATATAGATTATATGAGTACATGAATATTTACAATTTCATTATACATTTGTTTCTTGTGATACACTTTAAATGCCTGTACAGTTATCACTGATGCCAGTATCGTATTTCCTTTCATAAAAACATAATTATGACAATTTGAACGTATATTTAACATAATACTGTTAAAGCATAATCTTTGTCTCTACGAGATTTGTATACATCGTGCATTTTTAATGCAATAGAAAACATATGCGATTGCTATTCTAATGTTTATGAAAATTCATGTTTTGTAATGATAACAGGCGTCTGCCTATAAGTTGTTGAAACTTAGTTTCGCTATCACTTAAAAATATTTCTGTAACAACATCTTTGCCAAATAAGTTATACAAAGTTTTAAACAATTCTTCGCGAAAAAATTCCATTCTATTACAATCTATAACAACATGTTTTATGATATCATAGCAGAGTGTTCCGCAATCAAGACACATTAAAATGTTTGTATTATTACATACAGTATGCTTATTCATATTTTGCTAATCTGGACAGCGTGTTCTAAGCTTGTTGACTTATAAGAACATTCCAAAAGAATTGACTTCACTATATTTGTATGTAAAAAACAAAATCTATTAAAGTCATCATCCCATCCTCAATATTTTTCCAGCCTAACATGCTAAAACACATATCCGTTCGTGTTAGCACAGAGAACCCTTGTATCTTTTTTGCAGCTAGCCTAACAAATCTATAAAGTCGTTTATAGTCAGCTTTCTTAAGGCTAGACCACAATTCGCAACCATACAATAATCTAGGTATACAACTTTTTGAAATAAGCAAAGCCGATTTGATTGGATTTCTGTGGGCCGGGTCTATTTTAAGTGATAAGTAGAGAAAAAAGGCATGTTTTTGCTTTTTCGCATGGTCGTTCTACCTTGTATTTGTCATTTAGTTTATCATTTAGGAAGATTCCTACATGTTAAACACTATGAACCTGATCAATAGGACAACCTCCTATTAATAGTTGAACCTGAGGCGCTTTTCGTTTTTTTTTACCAAATACTATGTTATTTTTCAGTGGGTATATGTTGTTCCTGTATTTACATGTATATTTACGTGCAATATTTAGCATTTCTTCAAGGTCGGTGGGGTTAGTTGCTGATATGGCTATGTCGTCTGCAAGAGTTGTCGCCCCTACAGACAGATAAAGGATATTTAATCCTAATTCACTATTTCTACTTCGTTTACCAAATCATCTATAAACAATTTATATAGCCAAGTGGAGATCGTCCATCCTTTTCTAATGCCTTGTATTCTGGGGAAGAACTAGATTGAAGGTCATTAGCAGCGACACAACTATACATATTTGTGGCTGCGTCAACTAGAAGTCTCCAAATTGTACAAGTTTTACCTATTTTGACATTTTGTAAAAAACACCATCTAACCAAACCGTATCAAAAGCCTGTTTAGTATCTAACATGCATTCATATACATTACAATTTAGTTCATTATTCTAATAGATGCCTTCTTGTAAATTAAAGGATGCTGTTATTGCCCTGTGCACTTTTGGTAAGCATGTTGCTGCCTATTTGGGAAAGCTATTTTATTTTCATTTACCCAGTTGTTTAATCGTTCATGTAATACTTTTTCAAAGAGTTTATAAATGCAAGGCAGAAGTGTTATCGGTCTGTAATTTATAGGTTGTGTTCTTGGCTTTTCATTTTTTTGAATACAGGTATAATCATACCCATTTTTGGGAGAGTTTTCCTGTCTGTATT